CCCCAAAACCCCAAAACCCCAAAACCCCAAAACCCCTCTTAGAGAAGGAAATATTGAAAATGAAGTAATATTACTCTTGAAATCATAGCATTTACTCATTTAAAATGCAAAAACCTGATACTTTATCATAAATCTTCCCTTCTCTCCCAAAGCAAGATCTTATAACCTTTCCCTGAGTCGTCCCAGCCAGAACTATGTGCAAGCAGATGCTTAGCCGAGTGCTAATCTCAGAGCCTACCACATTTTGTTAATTTGGGAACTAAATTAAGGTAATTTTGTTAATTTAGAAGATTATTAAAGCCAGAAGTTTGAGAGGCCTTCTCATCCCTATTGGCTCTCACTACGGAGAGAATTTTCATATTTGTTCAGGGTTTTGATCACACTTTTAAGCTTGGAAGTTAACTTCCCACTCGCATGCTTTGGGTTAGTAACTTTCTTGCTTGATCTACGCTTCTACAAAGAATTAGAGGAAGGATACTTTTATAGACTTTTTAGAACGTTTAGGAGTAAACATCTTGCTTGATGATCTCTCTTGGCTTTCCTCCCTTTCTTTATCATAAGGCTCATAACCTGATTTGTAGTATTTGAAATATATAGAATTCAGCTTATTAGAGAGTTTGTCAGTCAAGATTTCTCGTTTATTTGGTAAATGATTTCTAAAAATTATTAACTTCTCTTCGGATCTCAAGAGTGCGAGGCTTACTCCTAAATTTTTATAACACGAATTTACTTTTGGTCTTAATTTTCCCCTTCTTTTTGCGTGAATTCTTTTGAAAAGATTGTGTAATTTTTGAAGTGAGGCTTGATTTTAAGGCAATATTCCGACTGCCTTTGTGGGGCTGGCTCAATACTGTCATCCCCAAGGCAGATTTGGATGACCTCCGAGAGCTCAGGCCTGTCTTTATATGTCTAAAAATGTATTTAAGTCCATCAGTATTTAAAATTTTACTAAATTTACTTTTGAAACGAATGATTGAGACTAATCTTACCTGATGTAGCTGTTAAAAATGGGATTTATTTTTGAAGAAGAGCTGGGATTTGTTCGGAATAGTTGGTCGCTAGAGAGTTTAGATAGCTTTGGGTGGTTTTTAAAGAAGGATAAAGGAATTTTGGGCAAATTAGAGAATGAGGGATTTGGTGATATGGTTTTGGGGGAAATTTTGAGAGAGGAAGTATGATGAGGTATCCCAAATCCCTTGTCAAAGCCAGGTTTATAAATCTCAAAATCTCTGAGTAATCTGTGCAGAGATTAGTAATTTTTAAGATAAATTTTAAGCGCGGTTGGGTACTTTTTAGAACAGAGTTTTGGGGTGGCTGGGGCGGAGGAAGTGGTCGCGGTTTTGGAGGTATAGGTGGCTTGGAAGGTTTTGGAGGCTATTTTTGGGGGTTTTGGGGGTGGCTTACCTTTCACGATTGAAGTAGTCAGAACTGTTGAGGGAGCTATTGGGGGGTAAATGGGGGGAAGTGGGGGTTGCTTACTCTGGGATGGAGTTGAGGGTGATGTTGAGGGTGTCTTCGGGGATATTGTTTGTGTCTGTCCTCTTAGTGTCTCCAGTTATCTTACTACCTGATGTTAATGTTTGATCGTTGGGATAGTCTTGAGGCTCTTTTGAAATGGCTGTTTGTCTTTTAAGATGCTTTGATGGTCTCCTTGAGAAGAATACTTTTGGTCTTTCTTTTGAGTTTTGGCGAGAAGCATGCTTTTTAAGATTTTGTGCTCAAGCAACTAACTATACAAATTGTGTCTCAAGAACCAAAAGTTTTATTTATACCTTTTTATTAAGCAGACAAGAGTCATTAACTTCATTGCCTTTCTGAGTTGATCCCTTATTTGATCTTCTGGATTTTGCGGCTGAGGATAAACATTTCTTCTCGTTTAATTCTAAAAGTTAAGATGATTCTTGCTTGTTCTTGCTCGGCTTTACTTTGATAATAGTTTTGTGTTTACCTGTAAAAGTTAGTAAATTAATCTTAAGCTATCTTTTATTGGTAAAAATCTACAAATTATTATTTAAAGCCATTCAGATATAATATTTTTAACTAAAGATCGTCAAAGTTGAGCTTTTTATTGATCCCTACATTAGATCATGAGTATCAAAACTTAATATTATCAATAACATAGTTGATTAGTTTTGTCGATCTTCATATTGCTAATGATGCACATCCCTCATACCAACTGCTATAAACCCATAACTATGTTCCCAAACAGACATCACCTCTACTAAAACATCTAAACATCTTCTCAAAACTCCAAACTAGACCTCCCAAAAACCACCAGAAACCCCTCACCAAGTGATGTTAAACCCCACTTTTAACCCCTAAAATCACCCATCAAGCATCTGCCTTGCTCACCAGCTTAAAACCCGCACTACGCCATCTCTTATCAGCTTCCCATAACACCAATGCAGTAACATAAATATACCTCAAAATTATTATTTTCTCTAATCTATAGTCTTGAACAATCTGGAAGAGTTATCCCAATACTTGCTAGCTAAGAGATCTCATAGTTCAAACCTGTAGGTATTCTACCGCTTTTCAGCTGAAGAATTGTGCTATTATGGGATTTGGAATGACTTTAGGAAGAGTCTGACGGAGTTTATGGGGAATATGTGTAGGCTTAACGGGGAAGTTTGGGGATATTTAGTATGTGCGAAGGGGTATGGGTTAGGCAAGATTTGGGTTATGTGTTGAAAAATTTCAGAGGAGGTAAATAATAGGATATGGCTTACTGAGGATTTGGGGTGTTGGGGTCGTCATAATTTGGAGTTATCTGAAGCTATGATGAAAATGGTGAGAAGAAGTACAATTATAGGTAATGAGAAGAGGTACAGTAATGAAGGACTTATTGCAAGGTTTTTAATTTTATTATAAATTTAATGACATAATAAAGATATCCAAGCATAACCAATACTAAAAACACCATAAACACTCATAAATCAACCATTTATCCCCTCTCAACCCTTTTAAACCCTTAAATCCACCCACTTACATATTACAAAATTTCCAAAAAATCAATTAATTATACTAAAATCGGGGTTTTGGGGTTTTGGGGTTTTGGGG